CATCTCTCCAGTGCTGGGACAACTTCTGCCTATGGGTAAACTAGTGTCCAGTCACTAACCTGTTTCCTTACAGCCGATTCTGATCAACGACTCTTCTCTCCAGGACCTCCATGTCCTGCTCCTCTGAAGTCCTTCCACGGGCCTCGTCCAGCACCCCACGGTGCACCTACAAAAGCAGCAGAGTCTGGTCTTGTCAGCGGTTAATTAAATTACTGGGTCTACCTGTTCCTCTCTCCACCGTGTCTCACCTATTCCTCTCCATCTAAACCAGGACCTCAACTCTCCCTCGGCACCTTCCCCTACAACAACAAGTAAGACGACTTTATTTCAGCTCAAGAATCCAAGTCAACAATATTGGATACTCACCTCTCCACCATTCTCTTCCAGCTCGTCTCTCCAACTCACCTGTAAATAAAGAACACTTATTTTGTATTCCTGGTTGTCGTGTCTTCTTCCTCGGTCTGCCACTTCGGGGTCCATATTACGACATCATGATACAATGATACATACAGTCTTTTGTTTCTGTCTCTCTTCTTACTTGTTTTAATTTAATGCACTGTGATTATTGTATGGTATGGTATGGTATATAGTTTATTCATTTTAAAAAAGTACAAAACAATTCCATAACAATATAAAAAAAAGATACAAAAGATTTAAAATGAAAGGCAGCAGAAAGAAGAAAAAAATCTTATTATATCTGCCCCTTTTTTCAAAACAATTATTTCAGACATAATAATCTTCAAGTAACAGTACAAAATGAATAACTTTCTAATTTATCTAATTCTAATACAAAACACACACTAAGCTACTTCATATATACTTTTTTAACAATCCAGTTTTGATCTTTTTCTTAAATGTGCACATTGACTTGGCATTTTTCACATCACTCTCTAGACCATTCCACAATCCAACTCCTTGGATTGAGGTAGACCTTCCCTTCAGACTAGTTCTGAATTTTGGTTTGACAAATATCTCTATCCCCTTAAGATTGTAACAACTTTGTCTTTTAACAAAATTTCTTTGGATATTTAATGGTAATGTGTGATTTTGAGCCCTATACATAACTGATAAAATACTGTAATCTACTAGATCATGGAATTTCAATAACTTCAGTTGATAAAATAATGTGCTTGACGGGTGACAGTAATGCTTTCTGGTGATAATTCTTACAGCTCTTTTCTGTAAAATAAAAATAGGTTTTGTAAATGTTTTACACGCTTTCCCCCAAACATCAATGCAATAGATTAAATGTGGAACAATGATTGTGCTATACAACATGTACAGAGCTTTATCATTTAATAATTCCCTGACTTTGTATAGTACTGCAATAGATTTAGATATTTTTGTTCTTACAGAATTGATGTGATTTTTCCATGTTAGCTGTTCATCAATGATTACACCCAAAAATTTCATCTCATTAACTCTACAAATCTCAACACCCTCAATTTTAAATGGATCATCAACAGTTCTCTTTTTTGTTACTAAATATCATGTATTTAGTTTTATCTAAATTTAATGATAATTTATTAAGTTTAAACCAAGTTTGTATTTTATCAAATTCTGTCTTCATCAATTCCAACATCCGTTTTACATCTTTACCCAAACAGAAAAATGTGGTGTCATCTGCAAAAAGGACACATTTGAGGAGTCCTGATACATTCACTAAGTCATTCACATATAAAATAAATAACTTTGG